CCTCGCCTCCCACCAGCCCCCCGACTCGGCCCGCGGCCGCAGTACTCACCCGGAGAGGCCGTGAGGCTCGCTGCTCCCCCTTTTCGGTTCTCAGCTGGGAGGAAGCCCCGAGCGACTCGAATCTCTGGGTTTAGTCAGGCCCCGGCCTTGGCCCCGCCTCTTCTTGGTTGGGTCTCAGCGTCAATCACCCAGCGTATCCCCGCCCTCCTTAAAGTCAGGTCTCCCGGTTGGCCAAGAACGTCCTTCATGTCTAAGCCCCACCCCCTGCCACCGGCCCTCAACCGCTTCCGCTGGGCCCCGCCCCTTCCCTGTCTCACGCTCCCCACCCCCACTGACGCTCCCCCGAGCTCCGCGGCCCACCCCTCCCAGAAGCGGCGGGACTTGGCTCTGGCTCCTTACAACTCGCCCCGCCCCTGACCCAAACCCTTCGGCCCCTTGCATCCAATCAGAGAGGCTATCTCTGCCCCCTCTCCGGAGATGGCCAATGTGGTGAGATTGAGGATCCACCCCCTTCCCAGCTGAGCGCACACAACACAGCATCCACGTGAGTCAGCTTCTTAAAGGAGAAGGTGCCACCTTGCTAATTGTGGCAGCTGGGAGACTTCTGGCGTCATTAGTTATCAGGTGGCGTCCCAGGCCTAGTTTCCTGATGCCCGGTCGGAACAAGGTATGACAAATGAAAATAAGCTGTTGTTTCCTAAACAAAGCAAGTGCCTAATTAATTGCACCACATAATTTCTTTGAGACCACTACCTTTTGCCACCCCTTGACATCAGAGCTGTTACTTCCAAGCCCCCACGCCCCCTGAGACTTAAAGACATAGGAACTCCTGAAGAGCGTGTTTAGAAAAGGGAACGTTTTCAAGTCTACCCAACTTTATTGACAACTCAAGAAACTCAGAAGCCATACTCACTGCTATCCTGCGCATGCTCACAGCTTCCCGATAGGACTAAGTAGAACTGCCCCTGTGGGTCTTCAAGGCTGTAACTCGGAATAAAAAGCAGCTAGCGGTTTGGAACTGCTGGTCTCACGGCTAACAGTCCAATGCCCAATATGTAGAATCCCAAGAGGATGAAGAAATTCAGTCTTATAAAGTGGAGATGTGCAGGCTGCGCGGTGGGTGATTTGCTTGTAGAAGAAAACATGTTTCCTTAATTCTTGTCTTGGGAAAATGCGAGGCTTAATACTTGCCTCTAGAAACTCACAGGGGCAGTTCTCTGACCTAGAGAGTTGCTCATTGTCTCTGTCGGTGTTGACTCAATGGCAGTGAGTTTAACCCATGTCCTGTATTGAATTGTGTTATCTCCCCTGACGGTGTGAAACCGGGACTGGCCATGATTCTGACCGGAAGTTATGTGATCTGATGTGGTCAACCCCTTAGCCTAAGAGGCAAAACACCCTACATAGGTCATAGGCCTGAGTGTCCCTGGGTGTGAACTTTTTGTTTTAAAGGAGAGAGAAACAGGCAGATAAAGTGCCTTATTACCACCCAGAAAGGATAACTTGTAAGTGTAACTCATGGGACAGTCACTCCTGGTGGAGCTAGTACCTTCAAGCCCTTGCAGGATGCCAAAGCTGCTGTTTTGATGTGGAAATTGGAGCGTTCAGATCTTTGAGGAAGTGTTAGAAGTAAACACCTGCCCCGCCCCCCCAACATGTGTTTCCTGTTTTGCTGATTGCCATCTTTTACAGGGGTGCCTTGGTATCTCATTGTAATTTCAATGTGCATCTCTCTCCTGGCTAACGGCTGGGGGCAGATGAAGCTCTCTACTTGCCTGAAGAGTTCCAGTCTTGCACCCTCATAGGGCCAGTTCTACCTTGCCATGTGGAGTCGCTCTCTCTGAGTCAGAATTGACTCCATGGCAGTGGGTGTTTGTTGGTTTGTTGTTGCTTTGGTTTATGGCTAATGAGCAGCTCTGATGGTGTGCATAGTGGGTGACCCTTAGGCTGCTAACCACAAGGTCAGCTGTTCAAA